CTACGCGGTCGCACAGTTTTGATGGCCAGGGCACTGAATGCCGCGCAGCACGAAAAGGCGCATCCACAGTGGCACTCGTATGCGCGCGCCCGCTCGGACGCAGGCCCGGCTGCCGTGTCGCACACATACGCAAATTACCCTGGCGACGTACCCAACCCCTGCGCAAAAGCGGGGCGCAAATAGTTTAGGATACTTTATAAGGGGGCGATGACGGAGCGAGGGTTACATATGTCTGCAGACGGAATTCGGGAGACTCGCAGGACACTGGCTACAGGAAAAGGGCTTGATAAAGCTGATGATTTACAATTCCTGAGCACTCCTAGCCACTTCGAAAACGGGGATCACAGCAGGCCTCGAAAGTGGCGACAGGTTCACAGATCGCAGCCCCGCAGGGACGGCGAGGTCTCATTTGAATCTGCCCGTGGCCCTCACTGTGCTGGGCCCCCCAGCAGGCCTCGAAAATGGCGGCAGTTTCGCAGATCGCAGCCCCCCAGGGATGGCGAGGTCTAATTTGAATCCGCGCGTGGCCCTCACTGTGCTGGGCCCCCAGCAGGCCTCGAAAGTGGCGACAGTTTCACAGATCGCAGCCCCCCAGGGAGGCGAGGTCTAATTTGAATCTGCCGCGATTACCCTCTATGCTGGACCCCCCAGCAGGCCTCGAAAGTGGCGACAGTTTCACAGATCGCAGCCCCCCCCCCCCCAGGGATGGCGAGGTCTAATTTGAATCTGCCGCGATTACCCTCTATGCTGAGCCCCCCAGCAGGCCTCGAAAGTGGCGACAGTTTCACAGATCGCAGCCCCCCAGGAATGGCGAGGTCTAATTTGGATCTGCCGCGATTACCCTCTATGCTGGACCCCCCAGCAGGCCTCGAAACTGGCGACAGTTTCACAGCCCCCCGCAGGCAAGACAGAAAGAGGCAGGAAAGAGGCGGGAGGCGGGAGGAGGAAGGACGCGACCACACTGCTCTATGCATTACCCTGGCGACGTACCCAACCCCTGCGCAAAAGCGGGGCGCAAATAGTTTAGGATACTTTATAAGGGGGCGATGACGGAGCGAGGGTTACATATGTCTGCAGACGGAATTCGGGAGACTCGCAGGACACTGGCTACAGGAAAAGGGCTTGATAAAGCTGATGATTTACAATTCCTGAGCACTCCTAGCCACTTCGAAAACGGGGATCACAGCAGGCCTCGAAAGTGGCGACAGGTTCACAGATCGCAGCCCCGCAGGGACGGCGAGGTCTCATTTGAATCTGCCCGTGGCCCTCACTGTGCTGGGCCCCCCAGCAGGCCTCGAAAATGGCGGCAGTTTCGCAGATCGCAGCCCCCCAGGGATGGCGAGGTCTAATTTGAATCCGCGCGTGGCCCTCACTGTGCTGGGCCCCCCAGCAGGCCTCGAAAGTGGCGACAGTTTCACAGATCGCAGCCCCCCAGGGAGGGCGAGGTCTAATTTGGATCTGCCGCGATTACCCTCTATGCTGGACCCCCCAGCAGGCCTCGAAAGTGGCGACAGTTTCACAGATCGCAGCCCCCCCCCCCAGGGATGGCGAGGTCTAATTTGAATCTGCCGCGATTACCCTCTATGCTGAGCCCCCCAGCAGGCCTCGAAAGTGGCGACAGTTTCACAGATCGCAGCCCCCCAGGAATGGCGAGGTCTAATTTGGATCTGCCGCGATTACCCTCTATGCTGGACCCCCCAGCAGGCCTCGAAACTGGCGACAGTTTCACAGCCCCCCGCAGGCAAGACAGAAAGAGGCAGGAAAGAGGCGGGAGGCGGGAGGAGGAAGGACGCGACCACACTGCTCTATTCAAAACGAATACCCAACCAAGGAGGGTTGGGGGGGGAGGAAAAAAAAAAAAAAAAAAAAAAAAAAAAAAAAAAAACTGGCGACGTACCCAACCCCTGCGCAAAAGCGGGGCGCAAATAGTTTAGGATACTTTATAAGGGGGCGATGACGGAGCGAGGGTTACATATGTCTGCAGACGGAATTCGGGAGACTCGCAGGACACTGGCTACAGGAAAAGGGCTTGATAAAGCTGATGATTTACAATTCCTGAGCACTCCTAGCCACTTCGAAAACGGAGATCACAGCAGGCCTCGAAAGTGGCGACAGGTTCACAGATCGCAGCCCCGCAGGGACGGCGAGGTCTCATTTGAATCTGCCCGTGGCCCTCACTGTGCTGGGCCCCCCAGCAGGCCTCGAAAATGGCGGCAGTTTCGCAGATCGCAGCCCCCCAGGGATGGCGAGGTCTAATTTGAATCCGCGCGTGGCCCTCACTGTGCTGGGCCCCCCAGCAGGCCTCGAAAGTGGCGACAGTTTCACAGATCGCAGCCCCCCAGGGATGGCGAGGTCTAATTTGGATCTGCCGCGATTACCCTCTATGCTGGACCCCCCAGCAGGCCTCGAAAGTGGCGACAGTTTCACAGATCGCAGCCCCCCCCCCCCCAGGGATGGCGAGGTCTAATTTGAATCTGCCGCGATTACCCTCTATGCTGAGCCCCCCAGCAGGCCTCGAAAGTGGCGACAGTTTCACAGATCGCAGCCCCCCAGGAATGGCGAGGTCTAATTTGGATCTGCCGCGATTACCCTCTATGCTGGACCCCCCAGCAGGCCTCGAAACTGGCGACAGTTTCACAGCCCCCCGCAGGCAAGACAGAAAGAGGCAGGAAAGAGGCGGGAGGCGGGAGGAGGAAGGACGCGACCACACTGCTCTATTCAAAACGAATACCCAACCAAGGGGGGCTGGGAAAAACGAATACCCAACCAAGGAGGGCTGGGAAAAAAAAATTATGCGCACTACGAGCGTCTTCCAGACCTGTCCCTGCATCATGAGATCGTGCCAGTTGTCCGGGCCATCCTGGAACGTAGGGAAGCCATCGGGCGAAAATGGCCTCAGCAGCTCTACGTCCTCCCAAAGCTGCCTCGTCCACGGAAGAGGGCGCCCGCCCGGCCTACAGTGGAGCAGTGGGAGGAGCGCGGCTGGACGGTGTCTTACCAGGCGCGCTGAATAGGTGAGCCTCATGCGCACCAGGATGCACTCAGTGGTAGGTTGGTGGAGCATCTCACGGATTTGCCAGTCCGAGTGGTCTGTGCACGTGAATCTTGGCTGATTTGCCACTCGCCGGAGCCGTACCATGTACGTTATGTTCAAATGCTTGAGCTGCTTCGGGGCCAGCACCACCACGCGCACTCCGAAGAACAAACGGGTGAAGAGCAACGCGCGGGCGAATATTAACTTATGCGCCTCCAGCACTCGCACGGCGCCGTCAAGCTTCCATGCTAGCGGCACGTACGCCTTCATGGTGGACGACGAGCGGTGCGTGACGTTGGCCAGGGACACTGCACGCAGCGACACGTGTGTGCCCAGATGCTTGCACGCTTCCACCATATCGATGGAAAGGTTCCAATGCGGAACAGCAAGGCGGAGGCGGCCGTCGACACAGCATCGGGCCCCCCGGCACTCCTTGGCGCCAGGGCCTCGAAATTGCAAGAGGCGCTCAGTCTTGCCAGGCGCGGCCTTCAGCTGCAGGTGTAAGCACTCGAATACCTCCAAAACCGCGCCGAGGAGGGCATCAATGGCGACGTCGAGGTCGTTAGGCCTACGGGCAACGATGGCCAGATCCTCGTCGTCGATGAAGGCTGCGTCGAGCACGGGCCTGGCCTCAGGCGCGCCGTCGGCGCCAGAATTCTCGCGGCGCCTCGGCGACCTTCAGCGCGACGCCTCGGCGGTCAAGTTCCCAGGCGATCACGTGGAGCGCCACCCCGTAAACGTTGTTGAACATCTGCGCTCCCAGCTTGCAGCCCCGGCGGCCACCCGTCTGGCTGGCGACAGCCGTGGGACGTCCATCGATGGCAAGCCACGCGCCCTCGTGGAGCGTCCTGGCCATGGCGCTTGCCACCGGATCCTCGCCCCAGTGTCCAATCAGGGACCCGTGCTCAGAGATGCACTGGGTGATCCACTCCGCGGCCTGCGGCGCGACGCCGAGGTCACGGACGCGCGGGAGACGTTGGTCGGCGGGTACGCGGCCCCACCCGTGGAGAAGCTGGCGAATGATGAAGTCGACCGCCTTGGTAAGGTCCACGAACAGGACGAATATGGACCACATCTGTGGTGCTGCGACGTATTCCACAAGGGAGGTGAAAATTTGAGACGCCATGTCGATGCCTCGGCCTCCCCGGGCGCCGTACTGACAATCAGGCTGGTGCACGACATATGGCTGCTCCAGCGCGTCCTTGACCATCCCGGTGAGCCCCTTGCTCGCGTGGTCGGCCAGCAGGAGGGCGCGGCGATGGTCCATGCTCTGCGGGTCACCCTTCTTCTTCCGCGCGTTCTGCAGCCGGCCGCCCCTCCACTGCGACGGCCAAGAGCCATTGCAGCTGACGCGGAGGTTGACATCGCCGAACTTGCTCGCCAGGGCGGAGCCGCCGGCTTGTAGCAGCTCAGAAGGAAAGGTATCAAATCCAATGCCCTTGTTGCGCCCCAGCTTCGCGTAGGCACGCTCGGCGGCGGCAGGCCCGACGTCGAAGTCGGAGGTGCAGGGCGGCGGATCGCTTGGCGGGAGCCGCAGCCCCTCGCGCGGGATGACACTGCCGCGGCGCAAGCCAGCAGCATGAACTCCCAAGCCTCTCGAACCTCATGGGGGGTCTCCGTGAGGGACCCGTCGCGGCGCTGGACGTTCTGAGGAGGCCGCGAGGCGCGGCCACTGAGCGCCCGTAGAGTCGCAAACGCTTGCCGCATGTCGCCCTCGTGCAGCGCCTGGGCAGACTTGGCAGCAAAGGCGTCGAGGTGGCGCTGCCAGTCGGCCTCCAGCATGGGCGGACTGCTCGTTGGATCCTCAGAATGGAAGCGGCGAGTTGGGCCTCCTGGAAGAGGCAGCGGCCATGCTTCCGGCCAGCGACGATAGCCTCGCCCTGCAGCACAAGCGGCCTGGACCGGTCGCCACTGCGGCGGCGAGGCACGCACTGTGCACACGCATACCTCCAGCATGCGAAAATGAACGGGGTGTACGCTTGCTGGCGCACCTGCGAGGCGCTGCAGCGCCGACGTCGCAACGGAGCAATGCATTGGCTCCGCCGTTTCTGACGCGGCTGCTTGGCAGGAGCGCCGGAGGCTTGTTGGGCAGCCCAGCGCGTCCAGATGCACAGTAACTTCAAGTGGTCGTCGATGTGGACATGCTCACCGACGCGCGGGAACTGCCACATGCACTGCTGGAAAAGCTCCCGGCGAACAGGGTCGTTCCGGTTGTACTTGTTCCCCTGAAGGTGGTTGGAGGTGGGCTCATGGGCGTCCCGTAGCAGGCAAGCGTCTCCATCGCAAAGAGGGCGTGGTCCTGCTTAGCATTGAGCGTCAACTCAATATCGGGAAGCGGTTCGCACCATCGACGCCGGTGCACAAGCTCTGCCGTCGACAACACGTAATCGATCCTCGCACGAGTGCCGAAAGTAGATGTCGACGTCGGCCCACTGGTGCCCCATGTGTTGTTGATGGCCAGCCCGTGATCTTTAGCAAAGACTCTGAAGCTGCATCCATTCGGGTTCTCCGTCTCCGCGCTGCTGGGCCCAATGACGTGCGAAGGCGTGCTGCCCATGCGGCCGTTCGCATCGATAACGACAAACCAAGGGACGCGGAACCTCGAAAATATCTTTCCGGCCAGCCGGTCCAAGTCAGCCCACCATTGGAGACGATCAGGCTCAGCACTCATGGAGCGAGGCGCGTGCGCCACGAGGCAGCCAACCTCGCGCCCACGCTTGCTAACGACAGCGTGGAGGAGTCAAGGTGACTCAGCCTACCACGCAACGATGGGCAGAGAGTGCTTGACCCACAGCTGGACGCCAAGCGCTCCGAGAGCATCCGCCGCCGCAGACACCATAGTGTAGTGCTGCCCCTCGGTGAGCTCAGCTTGAGGGGATCGCCCCTTTTGTACCCCCACGATGTCAAGGCCGTCGTGGTGAAAACTGAATATCCAGCATCGTGATCTTGCTGCGCACGCAGATGCCGCTCACTGCTGCATACGCCCGCGCCTGCTGGAAGGGCAGCAGCGTGAGGACGTGGGCAGTGGCAGCCGTGAGTGTGCTCAGGCGGGGGTTGCCTGAGCCACCGCTTGTTGAAAAAGCGATGGGTAGGCCGCCTGCTGCTTCGGCTTCTTGGCCAGATTGAAGTAGTCGGAGATGTAATACTTCGCCGGCTGCTTGCCAGCGTGACGCCTCAGCGGCGCCATCGGGACAGGCTCCACGGGGGGAGCCCTGTGGTTGAAGCGTGGCCTGGCGGGATCCCCTGCGCGGCAGCCCTGGCTGCCATGTCCAGCGTCGCCTGGAACTTGGCGAAGATCTCCTCGGAAGCCTTCTTCGCCTCCGCCAGCCCTTCGGGTGAGACAGTGCCGTACTCCTCCAACTGCTTGATGGTGGCCTGGAGCTGCTCGCCAAGGTTGATGGCGACAGGCTTGGGGGTCTCTTTCGCCCTTGCAGCGGCCACCTGCTGCTGGAGTTCCGCCACGTCCGACTCGAGTTTTGCCACTTCGAGGGCAGCAGCTTCGCTCGCCTTCTGGGCGAAGGCCACGCTCTCGGCAGCTGCCGTTACGCGTGCCTTGACACTCTCGAGCGCCGCCAGGGCGCTTTCGAGCCGCTTGCCCACTGGCGTGGCGTCGCTCAGCTGTCGTCGGCGCATAGCGAGCTGCTCGATGATCGGCTGCCGGGCCGGATCGAAGCCGCAGCCCTCCGGAAGGGCCGCCAGGGCAGCCTCCAGCTGCTTAATCGTGTCGAGGATCTGCTTCTGCGTGGGCTCCGTCTCCACCTCCTCGGTCACGCCCTGCATGCGCGTCGCCGCGTCGGGCTTCCCCACCGGAGCGATGCCAGTGGCCTGAGCTTCTCGGCCACCTGCTTGAGCTGAGTAGTTACCGGATTCGCGGCAGGCGCATGCGACATGGGCTTGGGCGCAGGAGGAGTGTCGGACACTACCTCTGCCCAGCTGCGCCGCATCCCGCATGTCGCGCAGGCCTGCTTGGTGTAGTTCAAGCTCGAGCAGCCTTTGCACGTCCAGCACCTCTTCTGCCCGGACGACTTCTGGTTGTTCTTGGGCCCGACGTAGTGCCAGCTCCCGGTAGGATCCTTGCGCCACTCCGAAGTGGACGGCGATGCCGAGTGCCCATCCCCCGATGTAGCACCAGTGCCCCATGCCATCCTGCTTCAGATTGCAGTCTTGAGAACCTCGCGAAGACTGAGGTAGCGCAAGAGAATCGGTTGTAGACTTATATGTTGGTGGATACATCCGCCACCGTGTCGCGAGGCACGAATTAGAGTGTCATCATGTCACTGGAGGGGAACGAGAAAGCTCAGCAGAAGGCGGAAGAGTCGCAGCAGCAGCAGGAAGAGTGGGGCAGCAGACAGCAGACTGGGAGATGAGAGAATGGGTGGGGGGGAGGGAAGCGACAGGCCGGGACGGAGGGTACTGAGAGGCGGGAAGAAGCAGGGGGGAGGACGAGGGAGGTGGCAGGAGATGAACGGGGCTGGGGGGGAAGCGGGGAGCGGGCGCAGAAATGAAACAGGAGCAGGACGGCGGACGGGGCTCCTGGTATGGGTATCCCAAGAACGAAGATGCACCCGAAGATCAGGTTGAACACCATCCCGAAGGTGGCGCAGGTGTAGCCTGGCTTCAGTATCCTCCCCAAGGCACGGCGGCCCGAGAGCGGGCAAGGGCGCGCAGGGTGCCAAGATGGGGCGCCGAGTGAACGAGTGGGGAGGGAAGAAGCAGGGGGGGAAGGGGGGGCAGGAGTCGGGAGCAGCAACAGGAGCGGGAGCAGGAGCACGAGGGCAGAAAGGAGAGAAGCAAGAAGAAGAAGAAAAACAAGACGAAGAAGAACGAGCAGAAGAAGTAGAAGACGAAAGATGGGAATGACAAGAGTTGGAGGCGTGGAAATGAGCACCAACACCAACACAGGGGGTTTTCCTCCACAGGGGGAAGATGATCCTGGATTTCGGTGTTGGTGGTAATATTTCGGTCACCTTGGAAGCCAGAATATTACCACCATCACCGAGATCGGGATCGTCTTCCCTCGGTGGAGGCACACCGCTGATCTTGGTGTTGGTGTCAACCTCTAGGCCTGCGAAAGACGACGACGACGACGACGACGACGACGACGACGACGACGACGACGACGACGACGACGACGACGACGGCGGCGGCGGCGGCGGCGGCGGCGGCGGCGACGGCGACGGCGACGGCGACGGCGACGGCGACGGCGACGGCGACGGCGACGGCGAGCGAAACCAGCAGCAGCAGGATCATGAGCGGATGCAGGAACGGGAATCTCCTCCTCCTCTTTTCCCACCCGTCCGCCCTCCCTCCCTCCATCCCTTCCTCCCCCCCGTCCTCTGGCTCATGAAGAAGCCGCTCAGCTGCGAGAAGCCGATGCGCGCTGGGAAGCACGCCATCAGCACCAGCGCGTAGTATCCGGCTTCATCCGCGGTCTGCGGCGCGGTCGTTGTCGTCGTCGTCGTCGTTATCGTCGTCCTCCTCCTCCTCCTCCTCCTCTCCTCCTCATCTCTCCTCCTCCTCCTCCCCCTCCTCCTCCCCCTCCTCCCTTTCCAAATTAGTTGTCCTATTGTTCGTCTCATTATTCTTATTATTAACGTTATGATTATTACTACCCGTCTTATTATTACTATTCATATAATTCTTACGATTCCTCCTCCTCCCCCTCCTTCTCCTCCTCCTCCTCCTCTTCGACCTCGTCCTCGTCGCCGTCCTCATCGTCGCCCACGCCGCCGATGCAGCATCGCTGTGTACGAGGGTTGCGGCCTTCATCATCATCATCATCATCATCATCATCATCATCATCATCATCATCATCAGCATCATCATCATCATCATCAGCATCATCATCATCATCATCATCATCATCATCATCATCATCATCATCATCGTCATCGTCATCGTCATCGTCATCGTCATCGTCATCACCACCACAACCACACCCCCACCATCATCACCATCATCAGCATCATCACCACCATCACAACCATGGTCATCATCCTCCTCCTCCTCATCATCATCATCATCATCAGTACGATCATCATCATCATCATCATCATCATCATCATCATCATCATCACCAGAATCATCATTAGCATCATCAGCATCATCATTAGCATCATCATCAGCATCATCAGCCATCAGAATCATCATCATCATCGTCATCATCAGTATCATCATCCTTGTCATCATCAGCATCGTCATCATCATTAGCAGCATCATCATCGTCATCGCCGCCACCATCATCACCATCATCACCCTCGCCATCGTCGCCATCGTCAGTATCACTATTCATATCATCATCATCATCATCATCATCATCATCATCATCATCATCATCATCATCATCATCATCATCGTCGACGCCGTCGTCATCAGACACAGCGACATCGAAAAAATCAGCAGCAGCGGCCGCAGCAGCAGCATTACGGGCATCATCATCAGCAGCATCAGCAGCATCACCATCATCACCAATAGCAGTGCCAGCTTCAACATGATGTTACGCATCGCCAGTGCCATCGACAGCATCCGATTTACCCTGAACATGCCCATACCCATATACACGAATACTGTCAATATCATGACAGGCTAAGTCCAGTAATATTCGCGTTACACTGCAATCGGCAAACACGATCGTCATCATCAGCAGCACCATCAGTATCAACTAACATCAACAACCTCAAGATCACGATCACCTGCAACAGCTGCCCCCTAATGTTATCGCATCAACAACGTCAATATAGGAGAGAGCGTGATCCACCGCCGCTTTACTGTGGAAAATTGCCGCACTTTTCCTCCGGAACCCAGGGGCCCCCCCTCCCCCTCCGAAAATCCCCCCCCCGCCTGCTGGAACCCCTCCCCCCCCCCCCCCTCCCCCGGCAAAACCCCACCCCCTCCCTAACCCCTCCCCCCCTCCCCCTCGAAAACCGGGGGGGGTCACTACCGGTTCGAACCCCCCCCCCCCTCGAAAACCGGAGGGGGGGTCACTACCGGTTCGAACCCCTCCCCCCCTCCCCCACTCACCGCCAGCAAACGACTCCCGGTCCCTACCACCGTCCGCACCACATCCCCCACTGTTGTTCCCAGCACCACTGTCCTCACCACCACTGTCCCCACTGGCTCCACCACCGTCCCTACTCTCCCCACCAGTGCCCCCCACCACTGTCGCACTGTCCCCACTGTCCCCACCACTGTTCCCACCAGGGTTCCACTCTCCCCACTTTCTCCACGGCCCCAACCACTGCCCGACTATCCCCACTGTCCCCACTGTCCCACTGACTCCTCCGCTGTCCCACTAAGCTGTCCCACTGTTCCCACCACTGTCCCCACTGTCCGCACCACTGTCCCCACTGTACCTCTGTCCCATTGTCCCACCGCCGTCCTCGCCACTGCCTTCACCACTGTCCCCACCACTGAACCCTCCACTGTCCCACTGTTTCCACCTCATTCCCACTGCCCCCACACCACTGTCCCCACCACCACCGTCCCCACCTCTGTCCACTGTCCCTACTGTTCCCACCATTGTCCTCACCACTGTCCCCACCACTACCATCCCCACCACTGTCCCACTGTCCCCACCACTGTCCCGCTGTCCCCTCACCACTGTCCCCATCACCACCGTCCCCACCACTGTCCGCACCCCCCCCTCGGTTTTCGAGGGGGGGGGGGTTCGAACCGGTAGTGACCCCCCCCGGTTTTCGAGGGGGAGGGGGGGGGGGGGGTTCGAACTGGTAGTGACCCCCCCCCTTTTCATGATGAACGGGGGGGGGGAGGGGTTCGAACCGGTAGTGACGCCCCCTGGTTTTCCGGAGGGGGGGGGGGGTTCGAACCCGTAGTGACCCCCCCCGGTTTTCCGCCAGCAGCGGTAGAACACGCTCTTTCCAATGTAGCTATCAGCATGCCTATTACCAGCATTACCACCACCTGGTAACATTTACCCTGCGACATACCAAACCCATCGGCACCAAGTGATTAGATAAGGTGTTCCGAAAATAATGTGACAGCAACACTGCAAGACAATGTGCACGGCAGATACCTGCGTCGTGCGAAGTGTGCGTGGCCGACTCGCAGAAGAGAGCCAAAAAAAGACCAGGAGCCATTGTACTAGGAAGGAGAAGCAAAGGAAGGCATCGGAGTGGAAGAACAATCACCTCGGCCGAAGCAGCGACATAATGGCGAGGTTTGTTGGGGATCTGCGTAGGACCCCACTGTGCTGGCCCCTCCAGGCATGCCTCGAAAAGGGCGACAATCTCACACTTCGCAGCCCCCCAGGGATGGCGAGGACCCGGTTGGATCTGCGTGGGGCCCCATTTTGCCGGCCCGCCCAGCAGCCCTCGAAAGCCGCGACAGTTTCGCACTTCCCAGCCCCCCCAGGGATGGCGAGGTCCCAGTTGGATCAGCGTGGGGCCCCACTGTGCCGCCCCGCCCATCAGCCTTCGAAAGCGGCGACAGTTTCACACTTCACAGCCCCCGAGGGACGGCGAGGTCCCATTTGGGTCTGCGTACGACCGCACTGCGCTGGCCCGCCCAACAGCCCTCGAAATTGGCGACAGTTTCACACTTTGCAGCCTCCCAGGAATGGCGAGGTCCCATTTGGGTCTGCGCGGGACCCCACTGTGCCGACCCCCCCAACAGCCCTCGAAAGCGGCGACACTTTCACAGTTCGCAGCCGGCTCCGTGTGGAACCCCATTGTGCTGGTTCCCCCAGCAGCCTTCGAAAGTGGCGGCAGACTCACACTTCGCCGCCCCCGCACTGTGATCCACAACTGCGGAGCGAAAGGGCGGCGATGACGTCGGCAATCTGACCGGCTCTGGAGAAGCTCGTTCTCGTTACAGCAATGTGGGTGGGCCGAAGATGGGTCAAAGGGTGGGTCTCGGTTGGGTCGCGGGTGGGTCGCAGGTGGGTTGCGGGTCGTGGGTGGGTCGGCGACGGGTCGCGGCGTCCGTCGTGGGTGGGTCGCGGGCGGGTCGCGGGGTTGGTCGCGGGTGGGTCGCGGGGTGGGTCGCGCGGTGGGTCGCGGGGCGAGTCGCGGGTGGGCGAAGGGTGGGTCGCGGGTGGGTCGCCGGGTGGGTCGCGAAATGGGTCGCGGACGGGTCGCGGGTGCGTCGCGGGGTGGGTCGCGTGGTAAATCGCAGGTGGGTCGCGGGTGGGTCGCGGAGCGGGTCGCAGGCGGGTTGAAGGGCGGGTCGCGGGTGGGACGACGCCGAACAACAACAACAACAACAACAACAATCATTTTACCCGAACGCTCAGTGTTCTCACCAGTGCCAGGGTTTTCATGCGACGCGAGACAATACCCCCACTTCGTGGGGGGGCAGTTCAAGCTCTACCAAATATCCAAACGACTCTTCGCGACCACCCAAACCCAGCTTCCCGCCCTATGACGTTGGGACACTTCACTTCGTGGCGTGCGGACGACCGTGGCTACTACACTGGCGTGGGGTACACACCCACAGAACTTGGTCACTTATTCGGGGCGCGCGTGTGCCCAGCATCCTGCAATTGTGACATACAATACATGACACAGACAGACAGAGAGAGAGACAGAGAGCAGACAGAGAGAGAGACAGAGAGAGCGGAGTTGGTCACATTTTTGGGGCAAGTTCCTGAGATCGTCGTGTTTTTTGTTGGTCTTGCGCGCGCGAATGTCCACTTTACTTTTTTTTTGCAAGGGAGTATTGAAATTTGATTATGTTAGAACAAGAAAAAGTAGCTCGCGCGAGCTCATGTAACATAAATGTTGAAAAACCATTGGTTTTGTGGGATTCGGACAGCGCGCGCGGAAGGACATTTTGACAATTTTTTCTTAAAAAACCATTGGGTTTTTGATGTTTTTATGTTGAAATCGCTACGAAACCTAAGGTTCTGGAAGGATTTCGTCTTGCGCGCGCGAATGTCCACTTTACCTTATTTTTTGCAAGGGATTATTGAAATTTGATTATGTTAGAACAAGAAAAAGTAGCTCGCGCGAGCTCATGTAACATAAATGTTGAAAAACCATTGGTTTTGTGGGATTCGGACAGCGCGCGCGGAAGGACATTTTGACAATTTTTTCTTAAAAAACCATTGGGTTTTTGATGTTTTTATGTTAAAATCGTTACGAAACCTAAGGTTTTGGAAGGATTTCGTCTTGCGCGCACGAATGTCCACTTTACCTTATTTTTTGCAAGGGATTCTTGCAATTTGATCAAGTAAGAACAAGAATGTTCATTTTATAATGTTTTTTGCAAGGGAAAACGGAGTACAACAAAAAACCGGATCCGGTAACAATCCACTTTTCTGAAGCTTTCGCGAAAAAATGATGAAATTGTAGCTGCGGCCTAGGCGCGGCGCAGAGGTCGCGCACCAGGGGTCCCAACAATAATAATTCTTTAGAAGGAATAATATTCAACAACAATTACTAGCACGTGGGGACACTCCGTTCTCACCAGTGCC